CAACAGTGCTGTGGTCCCTCAGCACTGACCCTCCGACAGTGCGGCACTCCCTCAGTACTGACCCTCCGACAGTGCGGCACTCCCTCAGTACTGATCCTCTGACAGTGTGGAACCCCATCAGTACAGACCCTCCAACAGTGAGGCATTCCTCAGCACTGACCCTCTGACAGTGCAGCAGTCCCTCAGTACTGTCCCTCTGACAGTGCGGTGCTCCCTCAGTACAGACCCTCTGTCAGTGCAGCACCCCCTCAGTACTGACCCTCCAACAGTGAGGCATTCCTCAGCACTGACCCTCCGACAGTGCAGCACTCCCTCAGCACTGACCCTCCGACAGTGCAGCACTCCCTCAGTACTGACCCTCCGACAGTGCAGCACTCCCTCAGTACTGACCCTCCGACAGTGCAGCACTCCCTCAGCAGTGACCCTCTGACAGTGCAGCACTCCCTCAGTGTTGCTGTGAAATGATAGCCTTGGCATTAGTGCTGAATGTCCGGGGCAGTGAACCCAAGCCTTTGTGAGTGAGAAGGCGCAGTGATCGCTGCCTGCTGTACAGGCGGCTATGTCAGTTCTGAGTCAGTGTTTGCCTCGATAGGCAAGGCAATTTGATTTAATCGGTTTCTTGTGTTTTGTCCCTGTGCCTGTGTATCTTCAGGGAAAACCAGTCGTCATGCGTTACAAACCACAGCCACGGAATGGCAGGCGGGACTGTGTTTTCAGCAGGATCCTCCTGCCTTTGGCCAGTGCTGTGCTTAACAAAAACCAAAAAAAACCTTTCAGCAATTTCTGGAATTTTTGTTTGAGATGGGGTAGAGAATTGCACATGCTGGCGACAGGGACACCAGGGAACTCTCAGATCCCGTTAGGAGCCAGTAGCTGAAGTCGGGATGTTATTTCTGGTTTGTTACGCTCTCCCTTCCCCCTTGTTTTTGTGTCCCAGTATGAGAGAGAGAGAGAGAGGGAGGATGGGGAATGAAAGGGAGGGGATGATAGAGACAGAGCTGGAGAGAGAGAGAGAGACCGGTTGGGGGGCGGGATCTGAGGAATGGAAATTTCCTCCAGTCACTACTCTCTCAACATGAGTCTGCTGCACGAAGCGATCACGTTTTGCGCTCACCAATGAGCGCCCTGGACACATTATAAATGTCGGGCCCTTTGCTTCATATACCCTAAGATCTTCCCCAAATCCCTTTGCAATGTGGATCTGAATGTGAAACCTCTGCAGAGTGAAGAACAGTGAAAGAGGACCCCGAAAACCTGTGACAGACCAGAAAGGTAACTGACCCAATAGCCACTAAGAAAAGGATGGAGATTCACTGAATTCATCACCTTCTGACTGTTTTCAGAGTTAGCCCGTTTTCTGTTTGTTGTTGTTGCTGCTGCTGCTGCTACTACTGTGTTTTTTAGTTAGGTTGTTGCTGCTGTTACTTTCTGCTTGTATTTCTTTTAAAAAAAACAGACAAAATGTTCTGCTAAAGCATGAACGTGATGTTAACTCCCCCCCCCCCCCCCCTCGCTATCTCCGTCAGTTTGACTTCCCAGAGAAGCGACACTTTGTTATTTGTAATAATTGGGCGTTTTGTCTTTGTAGTCCATTTTTGCTGGAGAATGCGGATCTCCTCTCGGTGCTTCCTGTTTCTGGTAAAAAAATGTGGCAATGTCAGGCCGACGAATTGGCGGAACCAACATGTAGGTTTACTGAGCAGACTCGAATAAAGGGGTTCAGGAATTTGCTCTGAAAATGATGGGATTGCAGGGGGAGGTGCTGGTGGTGGTGGAAAGTTATGCATGGTCTGATTTGCATGTGTCAGAGTTGATCAGGATTGGGCAGAAAAAAAACGGAATTAATTGGGGTTACTTTTTTAAAATGATGCATGTCGAACACCGGGTGGTCTCAGTTGCAATCAGGATGTATGCAGGGTCTGGGTTTTTGCATGCTCCGTGATGCAGGCCTGGCTTTGCATGAAGGTGATGATCCAGAGGGTCTGTAAATTTCCAGCCTCCAGAAACCCCTCTGTCTGGGCCAAGCGCGGGCTCTGTCCCCAAATGGTGCCTTTGCCTCCCACCTTCACACCTATTTGGATACCTGTAAGTCAATATTGGTTGGTATTTCCTCTGTGTATGTGTGTCGCTCTCTCTCAAGTCCAGTCTGGGATCTGCACAGCCGCCATACACCATATTTTTAAATGCTGCAAACCGCTCCCCCCAAAAAAATTACGAATTAACCCTGCACCCTCGCCACAGAGGCGGGGGGGAAGAATGCACTAGACAAACCTGCACGCCTCTCCGTTTAAGATCCAGTCTGAAATCTGCACAGCCGCCATACACGATTTATCTAAACCCCCAAAATTTAGGAATTAACATTGCATCCCCAGAGAGAGAGAAAATGCTTTAGACAACCCTCCACGTTTCTCCATATAAAATCCAGTCTGGGATCTGCACAGCCGCTATACACGATCTGTTTTAACGCTGCAAAATCCTTTTTTTTTCCCCCTCCTAAAAATAATTAAAATGCACCCCCACAGAGATTGGAGGGGGGAGGTGTTACGCTAGATATTCTACACGCCTCTGCATATAAAATCCTGGGATCTGCAAATGCACAATTGAAATTCCCTCCCTCCCCAGAGAGAGAGAGAGAGAGAGAGAGTAGTGGGGTGGGGGGGAAGATAACATTCAGACACCGTGCTTGCCTGGCGTTTAATTTCCTTTGTTCTGCAAATGACCGTTTTATCTGCAGCTTCCTTCCCGCCGCCCACAAGTTTGGCTTCCTCCCCCTACACCACCCCCGTTATTATAATAAAAATAAAGCAAAAGGTGGTGGTTCAGCCCGTGCCGTGGAGAATTGCAGTCGGTGCGGGTTTCTGTTTCTGTCTGTGTGTCTCAATGTGCCTGTGTGTTTTATTTCACCGGGAACTCTCCGTTGAGTGCCATGTGGCTCTAAAAGCTCACTAATGCCGTCCATTTCTTGCTGCATTTCTCTCCTTTTCGCCTCCCCGCCTCCGTGTCTGTCTGTCTCTCTGGCAGACCTACAAGATGGCCACTTCAGCGAGCGCCAACCTCAGCAAGATTGTGAAGAAGAACTACATGGAGCTGCCCCAGGACGGCAAGGTGCAGGCTATGTACATCTGGATCGATGGCACGGGGGAGTCTGTGCGATGTAAAACCAAGACCTTGGACAAGGAACCCAAGAGCATAACTGGTAAGGACAGCTTTCAGAACCCCCTACACATTGACTGACCTGTAGCCCACTAACCCATTCATTTGCACACACTTCACTCACCACTTCTGATAAATGCGGCACTTCAGGGTCCCAAAGTGAAATCAAGAAATCCTGATCTCCTCCCAAAACGAGACCTCACTCCCTTCGTCAAGAATAGAGATCAATTGAGTGCCTTTTCAAAACAAAACTTTTCTCCCCCTCCAAATTCCATTGCCCAGGGTAGTATGTATTTTTTTTGGGGGGGTGGGTGTTGGTACAGATGGGGAACAGGCCTTTTTGTCCAGTGTATTTGAATTGCCTTGAGCTTGTTTTCTTCCCTCTGCTTTTTTTCTGCTTGCCAACTTGCACTCCTTTCCCAAGTGGTCAACTTCATGCTTGTGTGGGCAGGCTATTTAACTACAAGGGGCATCACCGCTGCAAAACCTGGTGCTCTCCTTCCATCCCTGGTCTCCACTAAGGTGTGCTTTTCTCCAGTAAGTGGCTGGGTAAGTGATGAAGAACTGGAAGTTTTTTTGACAATTTTTGTTCCCTCATGCACCCTTTCCTACGCCCCACGGATACGGAGGCCAGTATGTTTAGCTTGTTATAGGGTGTGTGCATGGTTTGATGCTGAGCTCTTCCCTTTTGTAAACATTGGGGGAAATACTTGGGTGTGAGGTATAGTCAAACAACCATGATGCGGTCCAATGTATCAAAGTTCGATTTCGAAGATAAAATCGAACAAAGTTCACTCTTTTACATTTTGATTTTCACACCCTTCTGTCACCATAGTTGCCGCATCTGCATGGTGATGCTTATTTCAAGCTGCTTTAACCCCATCAAAGACGGTAGCGTCCCGTTAGAAAGCCAGCTTTGGTATATTATTCCAAGTTTGTGTGGAAATAGTAGGCACGATTGCATTAATGCCACTTAACAATGTAAAATATAATTGTGGAGCTTTCTGTTCTTGGAGATCTAGTTCCAGACATTGGGCAGCCTGTCAAATCCACTGGGGCGAGTTTAAATTATTTACATCCATGAGGATGGAATGAAGAGGCACAAACTATTGTGAGAAGCAATTAATTAACTTTCCAAATCTTGGAATGGAAGTGAGCAGAATAGTGTTTGTGCTGGCTGGGGATTTTGGAATGCTTAAACAGTGCCCCTTGTGAAACAACTTTACTGCTTGCTGGGATTCACATCATAACAACATGGAAACAGATCCTTCGGTCCAACCAGTCCATGCTGACCTTGTTCCCAAACCAAACTAGTCCCACTTACTTGTGTTTGACCCATATTCCTCCAAACCTTTCCTATTCACAAACTTATCCAAATGTCTTTTAAAGGTTGTTGTAACTGTGCCTGCATCCACCACTTCCCTGCCAGTTCATTCCCCACATGAACCACTGATTTTTTTTCTTTTCTTTAAAAAAATTGTCCATCATGTCCTTTTTCAAATCTTTCTCCTCTTGCCTTAAAAAGACACACCCTAGTTTTAAACTCGCCCGCTCTAGGGAAAAGACACTTGTCATTCACCTCAACAAGACCACCCTCAACCTTCTGTGCTCCAGTGAAAAAAGCCTTTCCAGTCTACTTTTATTTCAGACCCTCAATTCCCAGCAACATCCTGCTAAATCCTTTGAGCCCTCTCCAGTTTAATAATTTCCTTCCTATAACAGAGCAACCAGACCCGCACAATCCAGAAGAGGCCTCACCAGCATTCTGTACAACCTCAATGTGACATCCTAACCAAATACTCATTGGTCTGAGCAATGAAGGCAAGCATGCTAAATGCTTTCTTAACCACCCTGTCTACCTGTTACACAAATTTCAAAGAATTAGGTACTTGAACTCCTGGGTCTCTGTTTAACAACATTACCCTGGGCCCTACCATTAACTGTATAAGTCCTGTCCTTGTTTGTTGTACTAAAATGCAATACCTCACATTTATCCCAATCAAACTCCATCTGCCACTCCTCAGCCCATTGACCCAATAGATCAAGATCTCTTTTGAATCATAGATAACCTTTTTCACTGTCGACTATGCCACCAATTTTGGTGTCATCTGCAAACTTACTAACCATGCCTCCTATATTCTCATCCAAATCATCATTTTTTTTTCATTCATTTGTAGAATGTGGGTGTCGCTGTCTGGCCAGCATTTCTTGCCCATCCCTAGTTGCCCTTGAGAAGATGGTGGTGAGCTGCCACCTTGAACCGCTGCAGTCCTCCTGCTATAGGTTGAATGTAAATGACAGACAAAAGTGGACCCAGTGCTGAACCCAGTGAAATGCTGCTGGTCACAGGCCTCCAGTCCAAAAAATTAGACCACCATCACCCTCTGTCTCCTACAGCCAGGCCAATTAGTGAGCTCA